GATACAATTTTCAAAAGTCTTGTGAAGAAATAATCAATATGTGTTTTGTGGTCTTATTTCAGCAACTTTCATTTTTATTTTTTTCAATAACCACGCATAAACATTATTCTATTAAAAATACAAACATGTACATACATGTTGCTCAGATCTCATGGTAGCCAAGTTTGTGCTATATAGAGTGAATTTACATCTTTGCCATTAACATGTTTATAAATAACTGAAAAAAGCACAAATGTCAGTGCATGTCAAAACATCCCAAGGGCCCCAAAAACACTCTGGTCCCCAGAGGGTTAAAGACTGAAGACTGAGTGTAGTCATGCGCTTAACCTATCCTTACCAAAACCAACTATCGAGACAATCAATTAATCTGCCATCAATAAAACCATAATTTACATCCAAATACATCCAACCTGACTTCTTGCTGCATGACTGATAATAGATAGATAATAGATTTTTTTTTCAAAGTGTAGGATCTGTTGTTGTATCTTTTTGGTTTGTTTCATGTTATACATCAAGCAGTGCAGCTCAAATGGACTAAATGAAAAAGCAATGCAACTTAAATAAAAAAACTTCCATCAAAGTACATTCTGGGGTTGACTTGCCTACTGTTTTGAGAGCAACACCCAGTCCATGCAATAAATGTGCATGTATGGTTCATAGCTCAGGGTTTTTACAGTCATCTTATGGTTTTTTTAGTCATCTAATCTTGGCTGTAGTCACTGATCATTTTGGCCCACAGTCCACCCAAAGCCCTCTGTGGAGGAAAACAGTCTGTGGTGGGAGACGGAAAACCCATGACATGGTAGTGCCACTAATTAACGTCGTTTCATCAATCCATGACCACCAAAAGCTATCCAGATTCCATATTGGCTTTCCGGTTTTGCCTGGCTGTGCTGCTGTCTGCGATGCCCATCAATGCATTTCCAACAACAGCCTACATATCTACAAAGCACACAGCTGATGGTAGGAACGGACCCGCCCTCTCTTAAAAAATTGAGGCAAACCTCCAAGCTGTGGTTGGATCCATGCTACCAGAATATTGAGCCGTTTGGATCCAAGTGAGCCAAACACATTTAAAGACATTCCCCAGAGCAATAATACCATATAATCAAGGCAGGGTTGGGATGACTCCTGCGGGAGAAGCCATTCTCAAAGCTTGTCAAGAAAGCCATTGAGGAAAAACAAACCGGTAGAAATTTAGAGACACGGAATTTCTGTTTTTCAAGTGGTTACTTGAAATGTCATGAAAGCCAAAGAAATGTTGGTAATCTTAAGTGTGTTTATAGTACAAAAGTTACACTATGTTAAGCTGTCCAGCAATGATACACACTTTTGTGGGGTTGTGCCTTTACATTATGTGTTTGTTAAGTCAAATGTTAACAATGGCATTTTAATTTCGATTCAGTAAATTGTCTGTGCGTGTATACAGCCTCTGAAGGAAGTGGTCACGTGAAGATCTTCAGTTGCAGACACTGCTATTCTCTGGCACTGAAAGGCGATCCACCGCAGCACAGGCAGCAGCTCTCATCAACATTCCCAAGCACAAGTCTAGTCAAGAGATTAAATCTGAAGCCTTATGCAGCAAACTGCTTCTGTATAGGGGCTTTCCTGTGAGCTGTGGCCAAAAAATGCCATTGCAAACAGATCAAACTGACCACAACTACCTTTGAATAAAACTGCTGCTCTGTTTACCTTCTCCCTGTATCCTCGTCACACAGCTCTCGGTGCTCATATCTGTTTTACCACTCATTTCCCACTGTGCTAAGGTTTTATAAAGGAGCAGATGATGACTGAAGAGCCGAGCACTTTTACAGTAGTGACTGCACCCCCTGGTGGAAACATCAGGCACTGCAAGTACTGCTACACCTATTGATGGGCAGGTTCTGACAAATCATGACTCATTAATTAGTTAAACCAAATCAGAATAAATGAATTAGATGACGAGTGATGCATATCTAGAAATGTAAGAGGCCAGAGGCTGAGTGCTAGAAGCACAGTATTTCCTATAGAAATACTGTAGAAGCCTTGGGCCTGTTCTGACCTTGTTCTGGTTGGGTTTTGGGGGACGGAACGACACCAAATTGTTGAGCCCTCATTACAGGGTTATAATGTACATACACATGCATGTTGTTGCAGCCAACATCTTTAACGCAGGGCTTCGGAACATGTACAGTAAGTAACAAAAGTGCAGAAAAAAAACATCATCTACTAGAAAAGTGTCTGAAACTAACCTTATCAACTTCTAAAGGTATTCAATTGAATTGTCTCTAGCTAATAGGTCTAAGTATATTTCACCAGTCTTTTTTTAGGTCTTGTTTACACCTGGTATTAAGATGCGATTTGGTCAATCGGATCACAATTAGATGAGGCAGACGTATGACCGTTTACAGCTGGTGTTTTAATCCGTCTCTTTTGTCCACTTTCAACCACTTTTGTCCTGATTTCTTCGAGGGGGGGGGCTATAGGTGGGCAAATGTAACCAGCATCTCACACAAAAGTCGTAAATATCTTCCCTCAATTCGGTTCAGGTTTACATTTGGGACAGCAGTTCCCCACATGTGACCCCAGTCTGGCTTCCACAGGAGATCTGCATAAACTTGTCAAAACCAGGCACAAAAGAATCTCATTCCATGGATATTCAGGGCTTATTTTCCATATGTTTTCCCAGCATGTAACCTCTTCCCCTTTCTTTCTTCAGGCTGTTTGAGGTGAGCTCTAAACCGAGACAAAAAAAAAAAGTGTGCAGCCCTCTTATTGCCTTGTTTCCCAGGAACATTCAATGTTCTATCACTACTTTGTCCCCAACCATCCAAATCTGGTCTCCCTGGGATTTTTGTTAAACGAGATACAGCAGAAACAAACATTGGGCACCTGCCGCAACAGGCTAGATGGGACGGGTGGTAAAAAACTAAGTCTTTGCATTCTTGTGGCCAGGATGACAATTTCAGCAGCGGCTCAACTAGGCAAGGAATCCCACCCAACCCTCAGAGACGCAGACCGAGGTCAAACAGAGACTGTGTTTAGATTTCACATATGCTCCACCGCACTGGGGAAATTGGGTATGCAACATTGACCCTCTACTTAAGTAAATCAGTGCCAAGAAGATGCGGCATGTGCTTCATGGAAGGTATTTATTTGCACTTTAGTAGAAGCAAGTGTGACAACATGTCAAAATATAATGATTTCATGCTGGCTCTGGCACGAATGGCAAGGTTGAAAAGACTTAAGTTTGTTTATTGACTGTATATCATTGACTGTGGAGTTCTTAGCTATCTGGAAAATGACACCCATATCACCATTCAAAAATTAACACTCATTGTGTGAGATAAGAAAGAACACCCATAATGCCATAGTGAAATATATCACTAATGAGTTTCCTATAGTTTGTTTTCATGACCTGATAACATGGAAGTACAAGCAATTTCCGTCAAAGTAGACAAAGTGCTGAAACTGGCAAAGTGTGAATACTTTTAAACAATGGCTATTTAGCCTCACATTAGCATGACAAATTGAATGTTAAAAATATCAAGGCATTTATTAGACGAAGCCTCTTGACACTGCATATCTGCTCATGATCAGACATTGTAGTTTATCTTTTTCCATTTAATGTGCCAAAAAAAACAAGGGGAAATATTCTTAAGAGGCTAATTGCAATTGGTAACAATCTTTCAGATCAAATAATGGAGACTATAAATCTTTATATGAAGTATCCCACCCATGCTAACACAAGCCAGCATTTATTAAATTTATTGACTTCCTAAGAGGGGGTAGAATAGGCTTAGACCCAATCTACAACCATTGCAGCCCAACAAACCGGTTTACTGCTTCATAATGTTCAATGGGGCCTGAGGGAGCCACTCCCGCCCTGGCCCTTGATTTGCCCTAACAATATCCTCTCCTTAGCACACCTTTATACATAGAATCTTCCATCACTCTTCACCATGGATCCAAGAGAAATAATTATACGTCTTGAACTGTTGAGAAGTTGTTGAATGTGAAAACCTAGTACATCACTACAGATCCAGCCAGACTGGGTTAAAACATCAGGACAATATTAAACGCCCACCTGTCCTTGGAGTATGTCCATACATTTTGGATTATATTTACACCAGCATTATAATAGGCTACATTTTGTGTCTGTATAAGAGTTTAATAGCAGTCAACCTCGCTACTTTTACCCTCCAAACCTGGTTTAAAACTTGTTGATGCAAGTGACAATGGCTCACAGACGACGATGATTAAAAGTTAAACACATGTTTCCCGAAACATGAAGTTCTGGTGTGACCGCTAAAGGCGCGTAATGGAAGAATATCAATAAGCAGAAATGAACGCGTCATAGAGGAATACATTCCAAAGGCGTTCCCACTGTATCACAATTACCTCAATTAAAATTATGCTAGGGGAATGTTTATAGGGGGACCTGGGGAAACTGTAAATTTAACACACATTCTTGAACTTGCGCTAATTAAACTTAGTGAGCGAGTAAAATGGGTGCCAAAACGAGTGTTTATGCTGGATGAAGAAATATTATCTGCGATCTTAAAACAGACGTTTTGGCCACCAGGTTAGAGATCTAGCTTTATTGTTAACAGCTGTGTAGAACTGCTCGTGTCTAGTTTCATTCCTCTACAAGCATCTATGGGGAAAAAAAAGACGAACCTGACCGGCTTGTACCTGCCCGTCACGAATTAGCCCAAGAAATGTATGAAATGTCCTGATATGCAGTATTTAATACATTTGTGAATAGGGGCATCTTTAATGCATTTATAAATAAGTTATTAACTGGAGACTTCATGCAAACATTACGTTGTTATAATGAGAACAATACTCACACTAAATCGCAACTCCACAGGTTGTTACGGAGAGAAGTTTACATAACTTTTCCCCTAGATTGCGGTGTCTTTTTTGATTATGATCTTTGATTCATCATTTCCCATCTATCTTTCGTCTATACATTAAAAAACCTGAAGCTTGAAAAAACATTTAAAGCTTCTGCCTACCCGAAGTAAGCTGTGCTCGGTCCAGGCAAGCTGATCAGATGCACTATAATGGTAAATGATAACCATCCCAGGAGAAGGTGTCCATCCAGCATTTTGTAGCAGCTCTGGGGCAGCTCATTTCGTTCGTCCTAAGTTGCTGTGTAAAATCCTTTCTTGTGAGAACGGCACTTCTTATACACTCCGAGGATTTATGCGCCCCTCCCATTCACTTAGAACGGGAGAGAGAGAGAGAGAGAGAGAGAGAGAGAGAGAGAGAGAGAGAGAGAGAGAGAGAGAGAGAGAGAGAGAGAGAGAGAGAGAGAGAGAGAGAGAGAGAGAGAGGCTTAATTATTTACGTTTGCTTTTTGTAAGCATGGGCAGTAATAATCGTGATACTTCTAAAATGGAATAAATGTACCGGTTTTTCAAAATAGATCATACATAATCTCAATACTGGCTTTTTAATATCAGACAAAAGCTCTTGAGCTGATGAAAGATATTGAGCATGCTCAACCAGCATATGCTATGAATATTTTCCCTATTATTCATGTTTCATTTGGTTATCGCTTGCCCAGTAGAGTCAAAAATCTACTCATGTCTACTTAAACCGACATGACATTTTTTTTATTAATTATTTAATTAATTAATTTCTGAGAGGACATAGGCCTACTGGCTGGCACAAGTTCACAGGCAGTGTGCAATTACAGTTACATTATTTTTGTATTAGATAGATTTTGCAATTACTAGATGAAACGTTTAATAAGAAAGCAAAATAAGTTATTGGGAGTTATAAATCTTGATGAGAGATTTGGTTTGGCAAGAGCAGAGGAGAGAAGGTTCTTGTTTAAATGTGTTTTAATGATGATCAATAAAGGCAACAAGCACCACACTCCTAAAGCTCAGCTATGTTCTGCATCAAAGTAGATACCAATTGAAGACTTCAGATGCAAAAAAACTTTTATTTTTATTTAAAATGAGCATTTTATCAGGCTCTTTTGTTTAGATTCAATCATTTTACTTGAATGGCAATGCAATGTTTATAAGTCATTGAAAATGTTATTGAAATGCCTTATTTTCAAAAATGTCACAGATAAGAGTAAAATAAAAAAAAACAATAAAAGAGCTCATTTAGAAGAAGAAAAAATGTCAGACGGTTTTTGCATCTGCAGTCTTCAATTATTGATACACAAAGAATAGCGTGTCATTAAACATTAATAAATCCAGTAGCACTGAAGTCACAGATGAAACACAAATCTTGGCATCATAATCCACCACTTACACATCTTTGTTTTGGCAGCGAAATGTTAGTAAGATAGGGATCTGTTGGGCTGGTTCCAGCTCACTCTTGGGTACACCTGGAAGGAGCTCTTGACATGCTTGACATGACAGCTCTTGAATGCTGCAACAAAATGGACCTTTTCAATCACAAGGATCACAGTAGCAACAACAGGTGGGCTACTGGATCCTTTTGCCAAGTTTCTGTTTGCTAAACTGCCTGTTCTGCTGGATCATGATGACACAGGTAAAAAAAAAAAACAAGGGTGAAATGGCATTATTGAGGATCTACCTAGCAACCACAAGGCAATGACATCTGCTTTATTGACACCAGATGATGGGGCATTCAACCTCACAAATTAAAAGACTGGATTTAACTATTTGGCAAAAACAAGATTCCATAATTCATTTAAGCATGGGTCCCTTAAAATCAATATAAATTCAGTTTTTTTTTTTTTTACTTTCTTAGTATATTATTTGGTGTACGTTTTTTCAAATAAAAAAAAGTTTGCCTTCTTGCTCCGCTACCATCATAAATCCCTCTTATTTATCAACCTCTTCCCTCCAACTACTTGTAATATGGGGTTTCCCAAATCCCAACAATTCCACACAAAAGAGCCACCTAACTTACTGTATTAACACTTACCCTAATCGTAGGCGCAGGCCTGGACAGTGGACTGTGTTGTGTTGCTTAAACAGACCACCATCATCTCCCACAATCTTCCGAATGAAAGCAATTTAAAGGGAAAGACTGAAAGAGATCCACGCCGAATGCATCATCAAGCAAGTTTTAAACAAGTCTGTATCGTTAAGTCATTTCAGAGTCCAAACCTCCTTATGCTATGCGTTAAATTAAGAACTATCACTTTACTGCACAGGGTTTAAATTTAGCCAGGAGTAGGGTCTAGAATAGTTAATCATGGCTTTCTGAAACACAGATAAAGTACAGATTACTAACACCTGGATTATGAAATCCTGAACTAAAATAAACAAGATTCATTTAAAACCAACGGTGCTAATCTGAATTAGCACGACCGAGGTTGCCTGTAAAATGGAACGAACCAAGAAAAACTAAAAAATGTATGGAACTGAGAAGCAAATCCAAGGAAAACAATGACAGCAGAAAAAAAAGACTGCAATCAAAAAAAAAATACTGATCAAGAGAAAACTCTTTTAAAGCAAATAGCAAATAAAAACTGCATACACCACTTGTGGAATCTACATGGTGAAGAAAAAAAATATGAGAGCATTCTATCGCAAATGCTTTGCTTTCCCCCAAACTTTGAAACTTTGAGAGTAGGATTCGAACCAGGGTCTCCAGCATGGAAGGCAGGCACACTAACAAGGACGCTAGTCTCTAACATCAGTCACTTCTGCAATTCTTGAGGCCAGGGAAGTGAAGTTTACAAACACAGCTCTTACTAGCTTGCCTCTGTTACATACATACATACATATGTACAGCCTGTATATACACACACACACACACACACACATTCCTCCAGGAAATCAGTTTATTAAACTCTGGACTAGACCAATTCTAGGACTATTTAAAACCATGACAGAGAAAGCAGATTTCTGTTAATCTGGTTTAAAAGACTATTTAGTCCAGGACTAGGCTTAATCTCTGTCTGAGAAACCACCAAAGTGAAAGAAAACATCAGTACAAATGGAGAGCAGAACCATATAATTCAGAGAAATTTAAGTTTTACATAGCCCACTGGTATAAAATGAGAATTTAATCAAATGTAAGATTTTTATACAGTAGAAAACTTCTTTTCACCCAGTTTGCAATATGGACACACCACTTTCAATGAATAGGGTATGACTGGAATTCAATGAAAAGAATTAGCTCATAGAGACTTATGCATGAGATTTACCCAAAAAAATGACAGCTGAAGAAGATGATTGACAGGCCATTTGCACTGATGTGCATGTTGCCTTCCAGGGTTTTATGGTTAGGTGTGTAGGACAAATTCACTCCTACAAACAGTGCATCCATGCATGTTCATGGATTTGTACTTGTGTTTTTCTAGATCAGACATGCTCAAACAAGCATCTGTAAATGATCAGAATGGCTGCAGTTTTGAGCATGTACACAGGAGTGATTAACAAGTCATTTTCATTTTGAGCCACCACTTGAAATGATTTATGTTTCTGTGCTTCTATGTGTGTCACATACAGCCAAACACAAGTAACATTTCGCTTATAGAGATGTTTTACATTTCATTCATTTGGCAGATGCTGATATCCAAAGCGATTTACCTTGTTTACATTCAATATATTTCACATTTTTAAGCTTTGATTGGTCACACTTTATAAGGTGTCTATAACTACTGTGATAAGTACAATATACGTATTGTGTTCATATTATATCGCTAAACACTTTTGCTGCTATTGCGGTGGGATAAGGGTACGGTTAGGCAGAGGTTTGGTGGTATGGTTAGGTTTAAGGTGTAAGGAAAGGGTCAATAGCGTAATTATAGATGTAATCACAGAAATGTATTACATCTGTAATTACATGCAGGCATTTAATAAGTACAATGTAAAAACATGTACTATGTACAACAGTAAGTACATTGTGTCAAATTATTCATTTGAATGTTAGTACATATTTAAATACAATTAATATAAAGTGGGACCCTTTGATTGAACTGAATTTGTGAGGAAAAACACCCAATTAACCCATGTGATGTCTTGCAAAGAAACCAACACCTCATCATGACTAATAATTCCTTACAATGTAGTATAAGAATCTGTTTACTTACAACATATGCACTCACTTAGTGTGAAGTTCAATCCAACGGCCTCCCTCTCTCTGCATAAGTACAGACCCTACAACAGAATGAATCAGCGCTATCTTACTGCCATCTTACTTTAACCTATCCAGTCCTCGTGAATACCAGCAGTAAGTCTGGGAACTGGGTTGTGGGGTTCTTCTCATAAATGTATTCCTTTACTCTCTGTGTGTATTTAAATTCCATCTATCACAAACTGCTCGGAGAAACAAGGGTGGGGATCCAAATGCATCTTTATTTGAGGGTAATCCAAAATACAGGTAAGGGTCCGCAGAACCACGGGGCAAACAATCCAAACAATCAGAGGGAATGAAACACAGGGTAAATGGGAAAATCCAAGAATCCAGGCACGAAATTCAAAACCATAAACACGGAAAACTAAAGACAGCATGCTCAGAATTGCAGTGTAGCACCGGGCAAGACATTGCAATGAGTGACTGAACAAACGAGGCTTATACTGTATATGGTGAGTAAACAAGGTAATGAAAAGTAGCTGAATGCAATCACACATGATGAATCCAGGCAAAGGATTATAGGAAATGCAGTTATTGATAGAATGACAATGGTCCAGGGAGGAGTGCCCTCTAGTGGATATCAATTGCACTCCGGCTGGTGATCATGAAACCATCCATTCAACATTAACACATCAAGTCAGACTCCCCTGCCAACCTTTTCGGGGCCCTGTGGTATTTTCAGGATTTTTTGGCATCATTAGTGGTTTGGGATGTGGAGCCTGACACTGCATCTGTGGAGCGGGGTTGTCTCAGATCTCGCACCTCAGAAAAACTACAGAGACACCCTCTAGTGTTTATTTTCTTTGAATCATCTGAGGGCACCATCACACCCTAACATAAACAAGAGGCTTTAAACCACACATTTAAAGTCAATGTGAAATCGAATCCTTATTTACTTTCTCATCTTCAGAAAGTGGGTCTTATTGCTCTTATTGTGAGCGATTTATTGGTGCATGAGATTCCAAAGGAAAAGAGTTTGTCTCTGTAATCTTTAATCAAAGTATAACAACTTGATCTGGCGCTAAAATGACTTTCTTTTTTGGCTGATGTCACCAAGCTCTCTTGTTTTTCAACTCCTCCACCTCCAACCCCCTGTCACA